ATATATTATATATATTGATATATTTCACAAATATCATATATATAAAATATATGAAAAATACCATGTGGGTACAGTACAGTTTAAATTGTTTTTTGTATTTATTTGGTCACTACACTGCCTATTCAGGTGTTGATATATTTCCAGTAATTAATCCAGTTTTCAAAAGAATTGAAGTTGAAATAAACAAACGTCACAGAGTTACATGTGGAGTTTTGGTTGTACTACTGTCCTTTTTTACCTGATCCTTTTTGTAAATTATGATTTTTTAGAATAATTATTTAATAAGTAATTTTTATATAGATTGACTTTTTTAATTGATTAATTAATTAATTATTAATTTAAACTAGCAATCTTGCAGTCACTGTGTGACTACTGGGACTTGTATACTATAAAAAATTAAAATTTTGCTTTATTAAATAATGACTTTTGTTAAATTGCACTGTACTTGTTTAATTATTGACGTTTTTTAAGATATAAGCTCATTCTGATGTTACACTCATCAAGAGCTTTTATTTGAGTACCCACATGCATTTTTGATTTATTTTTCATATATACATATATATAATTTATATAAATATATGAAAAATTGATGTGGGTACTTAAATGAAAGGTCTCGATGAGTATAACATCGGGATGAGCTTATATCTTTAAAAACGTCTATAATTAAGAAATGACCTTGTATCTTGTGAAATATTGACATTTTTAAAGATATAAGCTCACTCCGACATTACACTCATCGAGACCTTTCATTTGAGTATCCACATCAATTTTTCATATATTTATATGTATATATGAAAAATATATCAAAAATGCATGTGGGTACTCAAATAAAAGCTCTTGATGAGTGTAACATCGGAATGAGCTTATATCTTTAAAAACGTCGATAGTTAAGAAGGTACAGTGCAATTTAACAAATATCTTGTGAACTATTGACATTTCCAAAGATATAAGCTCCCTCTGACATTACACTCATCGAGACCTTTCATTTGAGTACCCACATCAATTTTTCATATATTTATATATATTATATATATATGTATATATGAAAAATATATCAAAAATGCATGCGGGTACTCAAATGAAAGCTCTTGATGAGTGTAACATCGAAATGAGTTTATATCTTTAAAAACGTCAATAGTTAAAAAAGTACAGTGCAATTTAACTAAAGTCATTATTTAATAGAGCAAAATTTTATTTATTTATAGTTCTCAAGTCCCGGCAGTCACATAGTGACTGCAAGGTTGCTAGTATTAAAATAATTAAATATTTATTAATTTTTTATAAAGATAAAATGCAATAAATATTAATGATTTCTTCTTTGAACGTTTTTTTAAGTATCACACAATGTAAAAAAAAATTTTTATAAATAGTTGATTTAATATAAAGTGATAATATATTTAAATATAAATGAATGATCTCAATTGATTACTATTTAATTTTCAGCCAACCTGTTGAATAAAACGAAGTACATCTTCACTAAGCGGCATGTGATGTTTGAATGAATATACTGGAGCGCAAACTTTGTGTTCACCTTTACACGGATTATCTTCATGACCAGGGAATACATAGGGCATCAATGGCTTATCAGCGTAACTTCCGAATCCTAAACGGAAATTACTGGTGTAGGTACCTAGAGTATGAGCCATTTTCCACCCAAGACTCACCAATGTGTCTTTATCGTCATTCATCGACCACGTCAAGTCCATTAAATAATATAAATCCAGCGGATAGTTTCTGAATTGATATCAAAACATAAATAAATTTATTCAGATCGAACTCTTTTTAATCTAAATAACCGAGTAGTCTAAAAATATACTTTGCAGGCCTGTATTTAAGATAAACAGATTCTGTGTTATGTGGGCGTAATTTTATGTATAATCTCTGTGGTCTCAATTGAATTGGTACTTGGTCAGGTACAACCACATCTTGAAAATCATCATCTCTTATTGAATTAACAGATCCCATTGATGCATGATGAATTGCGTTTTTCGGGCAGCCAAATGCTTCTAAACGTTCCGCGCTGCTGCATCTCAATTTGCCGACAGTAGAATTTGAATATGACTATAAATAATTTTTTTTATTACTATATTGAAAAAAAAAAAAAAATTAACTTAAAACGAGAAAAAAATTCTTAAACCAAGAAAATAATTTTCAAGAGTTTTATTGCCTTGAATCAAGACGAAAAAATCTTAAATTAAGTAAAAATTTTCTTAGTTTTAGTAATTTTCTACTCAAATCAAGAAGATAAAATTTTGAAAAATTATTTACTTGATTCAAATAAATTTTTTTGTCTGTGTACAGATAAATAATTAATAGAATAAAAAACAAAGCAAATCCGCTACAAACCCATTCGCTACACCACGCACAGGAAGAACTACTCTCAAGGCATGTCTTGCAGGATGTTTGTATCGCGCAACGATAGAGCAACGATTCTTCAGGAAAACCGGCAGCATTTATCGCTCGATAATTATTGTTAATTACTATCAATAACAACGAGATTATTTGACTTTTGATCTCCATGACACGCCTTCGTCTCACTTTCTCATTAAAACGCTCTTTAATTTACTTTTAATGACCATTATTATTTTTTGTTACCGCAAATCGATCTCATTTTATGTTTCTTCTTTCCTTTGACCTTTTAAAGTTATAATTTATATTTTATAATAACAATAATTAACAGTTTAAATGAACACAGGTGTGTATCATCGTAACAATCTTATCTGTTTATCTTGACTGATAGTAATCAGTGATGTAACATATTTACAAACTATCAATATCACTTATCAATAAAAGATAATAATAATAATTTTCTTTGATCACACATTAATGAAAACTATCACTTATAATTAGTAATACCACCAGTAACTCCTAAATAAATAACTTATTCATCAATGATCATAATATTAATATTACAACACAGTTTAACTTTGATTTTTTTTTTATACAATAACCGGACGATGAAGTAATCGAGCGAAGAAAAAACTTATAAAGATGTCATGTATTACTAACACTAATTTCACTATTTGAAATTTAAATGACAATAAACAAATAATTTATAATTTATAATTTATAGTCTTCACTCGGGTTACTTTAAAATTTTAAAAATAAAAAATTTTTTTACTGGAGCGTAAAATAAACAATTTTAATTCACTATTTTATTAATTTAAATTAATAGTTTTTGTAATTAAATTGTAGTGTAACATGCTGCAGAGACTGTGCTGGAATAAAAGCAATGAGCGGTATGATAGATCGCGAGAGAAGTATCGTCTGGTAGTTTTTCCCAACAAAAGCGGCAGTCACTCTCTTAGTGTGTTATCCTTTTTAAAATACGTCACGCTCCTACACACCTTGATGAGCATTAAATTACTGCTTGTATTACAGTTAGTGTAATAATATACGTAAAAAATTTTAAAAGTAAGGATGTATATATATATATATATATATATATATATATATATATATATATATATATATATAACTTTGTACGGATTGTAATAATGTAAAAAAATAGTAAGTGAGTATAAGTATTGTAGAATATAGTAAACCAAAACCACTTGTATTGCCTACACACTATTCTGTGTATTCTCAGATATTCTCTGATACCGAGTGGGTTGATACACAACACGTATTTGCGTTGACGATGCCGCTATCGGTATTGCCGTTAACGCCAACACGTAATCTCGCGGCACTTGGCCTATTTGTCATGTGTATGTACATATTATATACATATATACACTACGCATTAGAACATCTGCTTAGTATATAATAGTACAATATTATTACATTACAGAGAAATATTTAATTTAATAACTACATTATATGACAGTTAGTGATGCAATTTCATTTTACATTGAGATTTCTTTATGCAATTTCGCTATTTTTTATTCTTTTTGTTTTCTGTACATTGGTAATTATAGTAAAGTATAATATTATTACAATAACTGTAATTAGTAAATCAATTCATTTTAATGAATGAAATTTTTTTTTGCTATCTTGAAGAAACATTGATTTATAAATTTTTTTTCTTTATATTCTATTGTACATGTCATGCTTTCACCAATTTGATAGTTTTACTCAATTATAGCACATGATTTCAAACGGAAGTAGAAAATATTTTGTTTTTTATTTTTTGTTTGTTTATATTTATAAGTTATTGCTAAGTGCTGTGAATGTAAGTTTTTTTTTTTGTTTTATTTCTAAACATTATTCCAATTAGAGGAACAAGAATCCAAAGGCCATTGATAATTATTTTTTATATCTCTCACCACATACTAACGCTGCATAATTTTCATTGGTAGATAATTATTTTCTCATTAAAATAATCGTACTAGTAATAATAGTTAATGAAATTGAATTTTAAAAATAAATAAATAATGTTATACATTATTAAGTATAAGGCAAAATTATCACCAATTCAGTATCATTAGATACCAAGTGGCAAGTAGCGGCACTTATAATAATTAAATTTTTAAATTCACAATTATTCATATTTATCCCACATATTAAATATGTACAATAACTATAAATAACTAATGGTAAGACAAAAAATTACTTTTAACTATTTGCATAAAAATTTACATTGATTACATGTTAAAAAAAAAAAAAATTTATCCTAAGGCAATTGCTGACAAGTTTATAATGGATGTAAAAAACTCAAAACATGTATAATTAAATGTACTTTTAATTATATATATTTTTACCATTCATAAAAATGAATATTTCATTAATTAATAATTACTTTTTTTTTTTTTATTTATTATCTATTTATAATTATTTTTTTTTGTTTAATTTTAAGTATTTAAAAAGACATTGGACCCGTCATTTTTATCATCACAACCATATTATTCACTTAACTTTCGCTGTGAACAAGTAAAATACAAGTGTCACTTATTTAGACCTCGTATAATTGTAGAAAATAATTCTACTTAGTAAATATTTATTTATATAAAGTGGAAGTAGTAGTAGTAGTAGTAGTAGTAGTAGTAGTAGTTGAGGTAATGTTATGGTTTTCTCTCAGAACTTGATACACGTCTTGCAAGCTGCTGATGAAGTACACCGTTTGGATCTTTCGATGGTTCAAACTCCTGGTGGTTATTATCTGTTGCTTTCTTTGGTTGATCGTGTTCTGGTGACGCGTCTCTTACTAGCCCACGCAGAAACATCGCTACGCAACTCCATGGAAATATCCTGTAATGAAGAAATAAATAAAAAGTATTATTAAAGTTTTAGTCATTAATGATTTTAAAAGCAGCAAATAAACTTATCGACATTACGTTAAACAGGAAAAGAAAGATACAAGTATTTTTTTTATTCCATTTTTATTTCTAAGTAAATTTAACGTGTGATCGGTACAGGTACTGCAGCTATGAGGGAAAGCCTCAACCGGGAATTATTATCTGCTGTAAAGGAGTATGTAATAACAGAGTTGCCCGTCGATTGATCCGCGGTTTCTACTCACGCGATCTGTATGTTTAGTTTTATAACATAGTTAGTTGTAAGCCAATATAATATATTAAATATTACATTCAATACGTTTAAATTAACTTTTCAATATTCTATATGAGAATTGTAAGTATTTTACAAGATTATATAGATTGCATTGATGCGATACGCTGTGATGAGAGTTATTAATTTTTATTTGTTACTATAGGACTTACCATTTAGCTGCAAGAAGACCTTGAAAGTACCCTGGTAGAATGGCGAATTTTTCGTTACATCTTATTGCAGTTATGACACGATCGGCAACCACATTTGGGCTCAAGGGCAGTAAAAATCTGTAATAATTAAATTGGATATTTAATATTGATAATTTTATATTTTTAAATTAATTTTTACAGAAATTGAATGAAAAAAAAAAAATTTTTAATGAAATAAAAATATAATATAATTTCTTCAAAATTTGATCATTTTCACAACTTTGATAAAACTAGTAAAGATACTAGTTTAACTATTTATTTTTTCAGCTTAAAAATTGTAAGTAAAATTCATATTAATTTATCAGGGAGATATTTTGAATTAATTTTAAAAAATATATTTATACTACCTTGTAACTAGTGAAACGTAAAATATGTGTTTAGTATTAAAATAATTTCTTCTGAAAACAAATTTTCTTCTTATTGCATATTTTCATATAAGATATTATATATATATTATAATTTGTATAATTATAAAAATAATAAAAAAATGAAATTATATCTTAAACGTCAATTAATTATAGGTGAGTAGTTAATAAAATTAATTAAAATTTATTATCGAAAATATATAATTTTGTATTAAAACATTCCCAAGTCACCTACTAAAGAATAATTTAATAATTAATACCTGAATTCAATATTATACCTTGATACTACATCTTCAAACATACCCGTCGCACGAATGAAATACGGACAAATTACCGTTGTGTAAATTTTGTTGTACCCATCAGCCTGAAAAAAAATAAAAATAAATAAATAAAGTAATCTTTCAATCTCACAAAGATATTAAAATAAATATAGATCAATTACCTCAAGTTCCATTCTAAGAGCTTCGTCAAATCCGACAGCAGCGAATTTAGAAGCGCAATAATCTACAAGCTTAGGAACTCCAATGTGACCAGCAAGACTAGCAATGCTGACAATGTGTCCCTTATTTTTCTCCATCATTGCCGGAAGAAACGCCTTCACCGTCTGAAAGTAATAACGCTGTTTATAATTTTGATAAATTGTTACAATAGTTAAAATAAAAAACATAGAAGCAATTGGATTCTATTTTATTTTTATCGGAGATAATTGGCAACTCAACACTGTCATTCTGTTACTGTATTTGGAGGGTCTCATGTTTCGTAACGTTTAAAATCCGTCGACATTGCGAATGTGGTCACAATGATCGGATTTATACTTCGCCTACAGGTCGACCGGTTTGTATAAATACTACACCTGACCAACGCAAACTCTTGATAGCAACGAGATGTCGTGCTCACTTACATATAAGAAATCAAGCCAATTCCTCTCACCGCGAATTCTCTAGTCAGACATTTAACTGGTGGTCCTTGAATTCTTTAGCAAACTAATCGCAGCTCAGCAAGTACATTATTTCATCAAGTGAAAGAGGATTCGTTTTTTTATTAATTATTATTTAATACTAAATATTTTCATTTATGCAATCCGACGTGACCTTAATTTTAATACATATTAATAGTAAAAGTATATTGATGATTTATACTAACCCAAAAATGTGCCATCGTATTTACTTCCATAGTCTTGCTGATAAGTTCGTCAGGTGTATCCATAAATTTTTTACCCGTAGCAATGCCAGCATTGTTGATTAATATTGATACCTAAAATATTCATATATTATTATTGATATTTTTTTAAACATAGTAAAAAAAAATTTAAGTAATTATTTATTTTATTTTGCCAAATAAATTAATATTAAAAAAAAATTTCATTTGTTTAAAAAAAATATAAGTGATGATTTAAATAATAGCGAATAAAAGTATAGAATTTGATAAAATCTTTTAAATATTTGATTTATAATTTAAACAGCAGCATTATTATTATTATAAACAAACAGACAATGAGAAAGATAAGAATAAGCCTTCTATTCGTATTATCCATGTATCAGTTTACTTGTTGCAATGTTATGGCGTAACTTGGTATCGTATCGTAAAAACTTTCGTAATTTCGTCCCGCGGTTGTTCCATTCGGTTGTCACAGAACGAGTCTATGCCTAATAAATAAAATCCAACCGCGGGATCTATTCCAAAAAAAAAAAAAAAAAAAAAAAAAATAGATACTATTTTAATACATGATTCTATTTAATATACCCTTGGTTAAGAAACATGTAACACGTTTTATAATTCTCACAAGAACAGAGAGTCCATTGACCGACCTTGTGGGGTCAATCTTCTTTTATACTTATCTACATATATTCTTAATATTAATATGTAAGTTTAGATCTAAAAATTATAATTAAATGTAATTTTTTACCTGTCCAACTTCGGATTTAAGAATTTCAGCTTTTTTATACACGTCCTCACGATTACAAAGATTACAAACGTATCCATAGCACGTTCCACCAGCAGCGCGTACTAATTTAACTGTTTCATCAATTCCTGAAACAAAATTTTTTTCCATTAGCGGTCTTCTTAATTAGAGTTATACTTGTAATAGTTAGTGCTGATGTTGATGGTTTAATTACAATGTGAGTTAAAATAAAGAAGAATATTAAGTGTTTAGCACTGAGTTGTATTCTAGACGAATTAGCAAGAGATGAGGAAATTACAATTCATCCGTGGTACGAAACGGGATTTCACGATGTAACAATTAGCGTCAGGTGTGTTACGACATAGATAGGTATCTGGAGGTAATATAAAGTGTTATAAAAGCCATCGAACGCGTTTGAAGATCTGCTAATAATTTTCTTATATTTTCGGTAACACTTGATAAACAATTAAGTTATTAAAATTTTCATAATAATTCAAATTTTACAAATATAAATCATACATTTTTTTTATGCTTCATTGATAATTTTATTCAAGTGCGCTCTAAATATATTTATCAGGTTTAATAAAACCTGATAAATGTGATTAAGAAATCTGTACCTAGACTTTGAAATTCATTTTTTAAATTTACTTCCTTTCAGTCATTAATGTCATTTATAAGTTTATATTTTACAGAATAAATAAAAAATTTTTAGCAATTCATTATATTCACTATTCAAGAGCTTGCTTAAACAGTTTTGTATGTTGTAGTTACTAGAAAGTTTTATCCTTGCTCGTATTTTTTTCGATTACACAAAAAAATTTATATATTATGAATAGTAACATTTTATATTGCGCTATTAATGTATGTATATAATTTAAATACATGGATAGTCCGACCGGCGAAGGGTAAATTCCAGAACTCTTTCGTTGGTAACAAAGTTCAAAGTTTTGATCCAAATAAGTAAAGCAATTACTGGTGATAGAGTGGTTTCTTTAGAAATTATTGAATTTACTAATTTATAAGTCATTTTTTATAAATTTTTTTAAACAACAATCAACCAGTTTTCACCGTTGACCGCGTAGACTTACGTAGGCTGGTATTCACGCCAGAGCCTTGACTTCTCTTCGTGCTACTTCTTTGCTACTCGAGTATAAAGTCTTAAAATGATAAAAAATTTACGCTAAAATAATTAATACTTGTCTATTTCATTTTCAATATTCACAGTAGTGATTATTTTAAATTCTGTTTATTTATTAGTGTTAATAATAACAGTAGTAATAATTACGATAATTAAATGGTATTACATAATCGATGAGTCAAAAAGTGACAAGTGTATCGTTGTGAAAATTGGGCGAGCGAAGAGTGCGAGTGTCATCGTAAACCGTAATCGGTATGGGATTTTTCTACAGGAAACTCGTTATGCAGGATTATTATTTATTATTTATTATTATTATTATTATTATTATTATTATTATTATTATTATGTTATAGCATAACATAGCGCAAATTGTTACGTCCTCGGGCTATCACTTTATCCAGTGATGTATGTTCAATTGCTGCCACCCACATACCTAAGAAAAGAAGATATATTATCAAAAGAATTTGAGTAAACTCACTATTTTTTTTCACTTGTATAAAAATAATTAATGAGCTCCGGAGATTTTTTTGTTAGAATGATAAATTATAATAAATAATTTACTATAATTACTGATGCAATTACTAAAATATTAACATAATGTTATTAAAATTGAATAGACTATTTTAAACGATATACACAACCCGTTTTCTTAATCAACTTTTTAGACTCATCCCATCTACTTGTTAGTCCTTGACAAATACGTAATATTTTTTTTTTTTAATAAAAAAGCTTAAATGTGTTATTTATGAAATTTTGAAAAACCTGTTTTTTGTTTTCATCAACACCATTTTTTACTAATCTGATGCTATAAATTATAAGATGCACTGATGCGCAATTCTAAGAATAAATTCTTTTGAATTTTTTTGTCCTTTTAATTGCTTTTTTATTTTATCATTAAATAGTTTTTGTAAACAAATTATTCAAACAGGATATTTTTTTGGTAGAAAAAATTTTAAATTCCTTATAATTTGATAAAAGAAAAACATTAAAAAAATTAATGATTTAAAAATAACTTTTCATAAGCATTTTTTAACAGAGTTAAAAAAAATATGTTTACAAACAATAAATTATTACATTATGAAAATTGAATAAATTATCAAATGTTAATATAAAAAATAATAACTTTATCTGAAAAAGGTCATGCCAATTGATGTTAACGGCTCTTGAGTGGGTCAATGACGTTATTTTTTATTTGGACATTTAACGTGGATTGAATATTTTCAGCGGGATAATATAAATTAAATATCAGCACTAACTCTGTAACTCATACTTTGATAGTAATTCTTAAATTGAATTAATGATTCGGCTTATTTAATTATTTACTTAAGAGTTATACTAAATGATATTTATTTTATTTCATTATATTTATGACTTGTCATTATTTTGTCATAAATTACCGATTAGTATTTTGAAAACTATTTTGATTGTATATTTTGTTTGTAATAATCTTGAGTGTATATGTCAAATGATGTAGATATACAGACTCAATTTTCTTGCACAACAGTCGTAAGCAATGCAAGAGTACCTCGTGTGTACCATAAATGCTACTCTCGCAATCGCGAGACAAAATGTTAAATACTGAAAATGCTAGAAGTAGGTATCATTTAAAATACAATTCACTTAGACCTCAGTAAAATGAATTACACATGGTCTTAGAGTTATTTGTTATTATTGCTGCTGTCGCGAAAAATGATAAATTGACAAGTTGTCATTTTTTAAGCATGCTATTAATTATATTAGATTATTGTATACTTGAATTGCTGGTTATCATGCTCTTTGGACTTAATTATGGTATAATTTTATTTTGAGATTACCTTGTCTGTCGATTACTTTTGTTATGACTTACAGAAAAATTTTAAATAATACATTAATTTAGGAAAAAATTTTTTTTTAATTTAGCTCAAGATGTTAATAAATTAATTGATTAAATTAAAGTCAAACAATTAATGGTTGATTGTCATTATCATTTTTTTTAATTAATTTATTTATTTAAGAAATATTTTTTATTTAAATTGTTTTATTTTTCTCAATGAATAATTTTTAAAATAAAGTTAAGTGTGTCAAGTTTAATTTTGTATACTTTAATCATAAGAAAAACCTGTAAAATCAAATATAAATTTATAAATATGTAAGAATATAGATAAAAACAGAATAGTCATGTGGGATTAGTAAATATTTGTAATCTAGACTATAAAAATATTTACTTTTATATAAAATTCTACGAATATTTATTTTTAGATAATTTAGCAAACATCTAACAATTTTTCAATTTTAGTAAGTAAATAAATTAATAAATAAATATTTATAAAATTTCCTGCGTAAGTGCATAAAATTATTTCTTTGATAAAAACAAAACTCTATAAATAATTAAATGTCTGCTTATTTAATTAGTGTAGTAAATAATTTACCATTTTCATTGATATCCCAGACGACGACCGTAGCACCTAAATTAGCGAGTCTTAGCGAAAGAAGCCTTCCAAGTCCTCCGCCACCACCAGTAACAAGGGCAATATCACCCGCGACACTTTTCATTTTATACCTTTTGGGAATAAACGCTTTGAACATTGATTCAATAATCGTAACCAATGACAATAACAGAAATCCAATGATATCACCAGCTGACCGTAGGAACGACATTTTCACACTTTTTTTTTTTTCTTCTAGTAGAACTGAATAAAAATAAAATCACTCAGGTAAATAATTAAAAGTCTGATGAGGAAGCAATCATAACTATTATTTGGTCCATCCGTGAGTAACGATAGTTAAGAACTCGATGCTACGAGAGTTGGTGGCCGATTGAAATAGGGTAAGAAGTATCTGTTGAACGATGTTGAATCAACGGTGGTAGCAGCAAACACTCCGACTTGTCCAGCAGTTGTTGTTCAATGAGAGGTGGTAGTTGGTGGAAGTAGTGGTAGTCTAGTGTCTGGTGGCGAATGCTCGGATGTATTCGAACGCTTTCGGTTCTTGCTGGTGTGTATCGCCACGTGCTTGCTTCTGTACTTATGTTACTCTCTTTGCTTCAATTACCTTCTTATTTGTTGTCCCAGTCACGTTCAGTTGTACTCATACATATCATAATTTGCAATAAAATATATAACCGGACAGGACGATCACTAGGACACTGCTGGTGATCTTTCATCTAGCCTAGTTCGTTTAAGTATTCCAGTTTTCTGCAACAAAAAGTATTTACAAAAAGTCATAAGTGTATGTAATTACTGTCATAAAATTTTTAATTTATCTACACGTTTTTATAATGATCTATAATTTTTTTAATTAAGTTAAATTAATGTGAATAAAATTTTACTGAAAAAAATATAAGGTATAAGTAAAAAAATAATTTTTAGTATTTTGATAAATAAATTGATTTTTAAAAAAATATTTGTTTAGATTTTTATAATAATAAAAAAAAATATCTGATTTTACTTTTTTAGAATCAAAGAAAAAATTTTATTTTTTATGTCATTAATTATAGTGCTTGAAGGACAAGTTCATAAATCTCTGACAGATTTATCAGAAAAGAATTTACGCATCTGACATTGTAATTCGATAGTTTTATCATTATAATCTGATAGTTAATAAAAACCACAATAATAATATAGTCATCGCGCAAATACCCTTATAAAATAAAAAATAAAATAAAATAATAATATGAAATGAAAACTCCAGTATATCTTGCTCTGAAATGTTATTCCGAGACAGTCAAGTCAAGGCCGCAACAATTTTTCAAGCCGTTCTCTTTTGCTTGCTCCCAGCCCGCGAGATCGCCGGATATGCAATCAAAGTGAAGAGTAAAGAGAAATCAAGCGAATTCAAGAGATCATAGATTTTTATTTACATTTTTACAATCATTTTTTTTTTCTATTCGATTGTTTGTGCTCCAATTGAGCTTGATCATTTCGGAGAAAATTCTCTCTGTTTAATGCAAAAATTTAATAGTTAAAAAAATATAATGATGATAAGTGATAAGGTTTAAATTAACTTAAAGTGTGTCAGATATTTAAATTTTTGTGTCACGGTCACATAAAAAATTTTTAAAAATCAATTATCCTGTTTACCTTTACTCTGATATTATTAATAAGGCATTAATGCGCGTATAAGTATGCATTACTATGTCGCACGTACACCTGAAACATACTTTCTAACAATCTATCACCAAATCTTGAGTACCTTGAGTACTTTCATTTTTTCACCAAAAACATTTTGATTTTAACAGACTCTTTTATATTCTCTTATAATAAGTATGTAGAACACAATAATAATAATAATAATAATAATAATAATAATAATAATAATAATAATAATAATAACAACAGCAACAATAATGACAATAATAAATGCTAGAAAAAAATATCCACATTTTTTTATAAAAAAATTTTTATATAAAAACTACTGAAATTTGTATCAAAAAAGAAAAACATATTTAAAGATTTAAATTCTTAATAATTTAAAACTTTTAAGGTACTAAAAAATAAAACCACCGCGCGATAATAGATCAATTACAATAATTTCTTAACATACTAGCAAGCTATTAAATAAAAAACTCTTCTTTTTAATAGATTTCAGGCCAGTATTTATAGCGCAGGAAAAAATTATAGCGCGTATTTTTCAGTATCAGTAAAAAATTATCATTACTCGTTGCAATAATAAATAGCTATTACGTAATTTAAAGAAATTTTTTTGCATGTTAAGGTCACTAATTATTTGTTATTGTTTTTACGGTGTTTTTATTAACATATAAGTAAAGCGACAATACGGAAAAAACTTTTGAATTCCAGAGTTGTAAATACTCAGTCTGTTTAACTGTTGTTGTAGTTGTTGTTATTATTATTTTATGTGAGAGTGTTTAATATGAGGAACAAAAAAATGTTTAGTGACAATGCATGCACTTATATCGGTTTTACTTGTAACGCACGACGCAACGTTACAGTGAAAGTTTTAAGTATTCTAATGAGATGGTTAGACCATTAATTTGCGATTCATTCGTAATCCCCGATCTGGAAAAAAATTTTTTTTATTTTTAGTTTCATATAATTGTACCAGGATTAATTTATTTATTAATTATACTGTCATTTGCAAAAAAAAAGTTATTTTTAACTGCGAGATAAAAAATTCTATTTAGATTTAGTATTAATGAAGAAATAATGTTTTATTTACTTTACACAAAAAATTAATGAAGAAATAAAAAAATGAAATAATTACACTAGTGATGCGTTGTTGCATCTTCTGTAACATTAATCAACTTTTATGACAATTTTTTTTTTATTTAAAAAAATAAAAAAAAAAAATTAATTGTCGAATAATGTACAAGAGATGAAACATTATTAATAAAATAAAATAAAATTAAATTAATTATTACTGGTTATTAATTATTAGCTATGAGATATCTATTATAAATATGTTAATGCTATCGGATCGATTGTACATATATTATAATTTAATTATTTTGGATTTTTTAGAGTACAGCTATATACCTACGATAGGATGTGTGTAGATGAGTGAATGTGGAGGTTTAGTTGGTGGAGCTGGAGTGACTGGTCAGAAACGACTGATATGAGTAGTGGGCATAGCGTATAATATAGTATACTCGCAAAGTTATACTTGCAAAGGACTTTTTTTATTTATTGTTACTTACGTTATTATACGCTGGTGTATCTGCGTAGAGTTCTAGTCGTACGATGAGTGAGCGCCGAAGAGATATACCACCTGGGGGAACGCGTTCACCTCGCCAGAAATCCGGCCACTGGAACTTTAATCGCATGTGCATGACGTTCTTAATGTACGATTATGTATTGCCTCAAATCTCATCAGGAATCGTATCATGTAATGCGTTTGGATTCGTTTTTTATTTTTCCGTTTTATCCTGAAACAGTAATTAGTATAATTATAATATGTAAGGCTGTTCTTTTAAGCTGTGGAATTATCTAATCAAAGGTGTAAAATCATGGAAATGTCATATGATTCCTTGATAATGTAATAAGTTAAGAGTAATAGTTGTTAACACCTTTATAGTTGTGTCAGAAATACCTTCACTAATTTTTTTAATTGAAAAATTTTTATTTAAATAAAGAAAATTTTTGAATAAATATTAATTTTAAAATTACTTTATTTATTTCTAATAAAATTTTTTAATAGATAATATTTATCTAAAATTAAAATTTTAAATATTATTTTTCGTTTTCTTCACAATTTTTCATTAACCCTAGACTGGTCACCCTATGAGAGTGACGCCGCGCTCAATTATATTTTGTTTATTACATCTTCAATATTTACTAAAATTATTCAAAAAAATTTGTATTTGTTTCTTGAACATTTTAGTATATATTAATAATTTTTTCAAACATCTTCAAAAACGTTAAATTGCTGAAAAAAAATTTCTTAAAAAAATTTGCGGGGCTTTCCTCATCGCTTGACCAGAGTCGTAAGTAGTTTTTTGTCCGCGGCGTTGCCGAAAACACCTGTAGTCTCTGCCTGTCAAACGTCAATGAACTGGCAACACTGTACGCTCTAAAAGCATTGCGGCAAATCCCTCATCACTCGACCAAAGTCGTTAGGTCGCGTTTGGTGACCAGTCTAGGGTTAACTGAGATACTTTTTTAATTCATCAAAAATCTTTAATTCCTTGTAAAGATTCTTCATTTTTTAATAACTGTCTAAAAAGACAAAAGATGATAAAATAATTAGAACAAAGTAGTTAGAAAAATATAACATTCTTTCATAACTTATAAAGTATATGATACTAATTATAACTTCTAATCTGATTCATGAATTTACATGTCACTTACATAAATCAAAAGCCATTATTGATTGTACGATTATTGTACTCATGCGAAAATTATTATGTAAACATTTTTAGATAAAATAGTTTCCTCTGATTAATTATTTAGTCTATTGATTATATATAATTAATTAATTAGAATAAGGTTATTTAAAACAATAAATCAAAGAAATCTTTTGACGCATTAAAACAGAATCAGTCTATAACTTAGATCTACAATAAAAATAAAATTATTAAATAACACTTCACTTGCAAGCAATAATTTATCACAGTACTAGTTGATTTTATAAATAATTTATTTATTTATTTTAGATGAATAACTGGTAATAAAATATGTTTATAACATTGAGTTATGTATTAAAAATTGAGGATAACATTAATTAGTAAAATGTATCTGTGTCACACAATGTGTGACATACAAGCGCACCGAGTAAAGTCTCATTGTTGACATTACACAAATCGTATTCTTAATATATCTGACAATTATCGTGTATAAAGAATATTCCAACAAGTATAAAAGCACTTTAATAAATATTTTATCGGAGTTTTAAGTTTAATTTCTTCCGGTAATGATTAAATGCTCGGTTGAAATTAAACATGAATTTAAAAATTGTTTATTATTTTACTTTAAATTTTCTTACTGTTGTAATACACGCGCAAAAAACTAAATTAGATAAGATTTCCCGTACGTATTAAATTAATTAGCGAATAAATAAATTTATAAATTTTAATATTATTTTTTATTTTTTGAATATTAGAGGTTGTCGATACGTGGAAAGCATATTCAAAAGGATCATCTCGATGGACGAATTTTTCTTCTCGCTATTACGAAAATCATAGTGAAAAAAATCATATATTA